AATGTCCATTGCGGCTAGTGTGACAACAGGTAGGGTTTCCTTTTTGCAGCTTCTATCCGCAATATTCCAGTTTATGATCTAAGTCTCTTCCTCTTTTGTTTCGATATGCATATAACAAGTGATCTGCAGCTTACTTTGACCTGCCAGGCAGTAGAGCCATATGACTAGGCTTTGGTATGGCCAGTTGCTGCTCCGCTCCTCTTATTTCCCATTCCGCTTGTCAAATTTTTTGTGGGCTTTTTTGCCTGGGATTTCGCAGATTCTTTAATTGCATGCTTCTTCCTGAATATTTTTCGGAAAAATGATCCTGTGGCTTTTATTGCTTTTTTACGATGCCGTGTGGTTGTGGTACTGATATTTCATAAATAGCGGCATTTGGCGCCTAAAATATCTTCTTAACCTCAAATGTATTATCAAAAGGTGCTTTTGAAATGGTGTCCATTTCGTATTCACCTACATGGATGATTTTCTCCCAAATGGCCCCTCTTTAAAGTTTTTTACGGTTTTAGCACGCACTGGTTGCCCTTATTTTTGGTGGATAATTCGGAATAAGTGTTTTGAGTCCACAGAAGACCGGAAAGGCCAGAATCACATACTAGAAACTAGCCGCTAGCACACAACTGGTTCAGAGGTTGCTTAACTCGGCTGTATTAGGGTGAAATTATCTTTGACTTGCTACACTCTTTTCATCCGTCTCTTGACCTGCTCAGCTTTTAGCTTTGCCCTTGGTGCCCCCCAAGCACACTTCCGTACCGTACTGAACATTGCATCGTCCGTACCATTGATGTTATTCATCTCCAAACGCTTTGATGCCTTGATTACTGCATTTCATCTTGTAAGTTGTGATGGGATGCACTTGATAGTGGCAGTGTTAAAGGCTTGGTGATATTTTATGGCAAAAATATGCATCTAAAAGACACACAAGTAAGGAATAGCAACAGATTTTTATTTTCTCTCTTTTAGACCCCTGATGGTTCTGGTCCAACGCCTGACCCTTTTGACAGCAAACCTCCTTGACGGTCATGAAATGGTCTCCGAGTCAAAAAGGGAAAGTGACAATAAAAAAGGCTCCGTTAACTCCAATGGCCATCCTTCGAAGGATTTAATCATACCAAGGCTGACGCCAATTCGAAAGGAGTATGCCGTATTGTAAGTCAGCCTCGTCTTTTCGGAGGATCTGGAATGCTGGCTTTAATGATTAGTAAATCAAGTTGCTTGAGTCCGTTTCAACGCTGCCTCCTGGATTCCAGGTTTCTTGAGGCTCCTTGCGTATCAATGTACCAATGGAAATTGGCTCCTTCGATCTAGTGGAAGGTGTGTTTTATTCACCGCAGCCGGCGGAGTCCCAGCAGTGATTGAACTCTTGAATGCCCGGTTGAAATTGCTTCAATTTGTTGTGACACGATTTGAAGTAGACCTGTTATCCTTTTCGATATACGCTATTCATAAATACAATTTTAAGGCATTCCATGCCACCTGGTGACTGGCGTTGGTGATTCGCGTTGGTTTTGGAGCATGTTCCTCGAATCTATTTCAGCATTTTTGGACCGGAGCTTCAGCCATTTCCGCGTGGCATCCAGAATTTATTAAATTGCATTGGCAGACTGCGCCTGCCTCATTTGCGGAATTCCATCGTCCTATTTACAAAACAACTTGGGTAGCGTATTCTTACCATCAACTAGCACCCGGATTCGTCGTTGTTTTTTATCATTATCTGTAAAATTTTACTCGATTACGCTTGCAACTTTATCTTGGCGTCTTTTTTCCTCTTTTTTTTTCTACCTGACCTTTTTCGTCTAAATGCCTATTACTGTGATTGCCTAATGCTTGAGAATGTGAGCGAAAGAAAAGGTGAAGTAAGACTGTGTTTTGCTTGCCATCTCATCCCAAGTTCTGTGGCATGAGGCAAAATGAGGCCTTCCTCTCAACTCTAACTAATCGTGGTAGTTTTTTTTTCAGACAACCTTGACACGCCATTTTGCAGGTTCAATCGGCACTTCATACTTGAGAATGCAATAATGGCTGTGCACCAATGTCTGCATGTAAAGAATCACGTGCTTTTACGTGACCTTAGAGGTCACAGGAGCCAAGTTGGTCACCTGATAGCCCCTGTTGTTTCCTCTGTTGTTCGTATTCAGCTAACTTGTAACTATTCCCATTTCCGTGAATCACTTCCAGGATTGCATTTAGACACTTTGTGGTCATGACTGCAGCCACCTGGACGTCCACAGCGCTTTTCGTATATGCCCCCCCCCCCCCCCCCCCAACCTATGAATCATTCAACCACAGGGTAACTTGATCCCCCTTCTGAGTGCGCATATTCCCACGGAAGCGAAGTTGTGATCCCGGCAGACACAGCCCCATCCCCAAAGCCTGTTCTTTCCTCTTTCATAAAAAGAACTACTCCACGGCAACAATTAGATTACTTTAAAGCCAATGGGTTGCCTGGTCAAGGTAGTAACCTGAGACCCTTAAACACCTCACTAACAACTACTTCTCCCATTCTCATAGCTTCAACGATTTTTTAAAAAAATGACGGTTCCTGCCAAGCTGTCTGTACCTGTCATGATTTGACCTTCGTCCAAGTCTCTTCCAATTTTTGATAGGTCTATTGGAAATCCTTGCTTTCCTTCGTACGCATTGATTAGAACTGCTGCGATGTGGCAATCTCCATCTTCGCCCGCTTTCATTCCAAAGCGTCAGTGAAATTGACATCCAGCTAAAAATAGGCCTTACCTTTGCACTGGAAAGTGACTTCCGCTGTCACGTAGTGTGCTCCCTCATTAGGAAAAAGGGCAGTGGGATAAATATTCAGCTAAATGAATGAATCCTCTTGTAGGCGGAAAACAGTGGATCGGGAAAGGACAAACCCAGTTTTGTCGCCTCGTGATTCTTCCAACGGGTTGGAAGGATTTGCGTCCTCCCACTTGAATGCAGTACTCCCAGTCCATGCTTAGAATGGATTGCTAGCGATCCGGGTAGCCTGGAATATTTCCGTTGATTCCTCCATTATTTTGGTCGTCATTTCTTTCTGAATGTTTCACGCCATTGGTTGAAATCCAATTCATTTCCTACAATACTCCGCGACTGTGTTGGTTTTGGCTCTTCCGACGACATCCCACCGAAGGGATATGCTCTGGCCAGTGAAAAGAAAATCAACCGATTTTTTAAAGGTCCTTTTTTACAAGAAACTGTACTTATCACCCGAACTCATTGTTTTTAAACCATTACTGCAACCTTCGCGACTTTTTTCATTCTCTGGAAGTTGAATAAATTGTCTGTATGGAATCCCATCAGGCGGGAGTGGTGAGGAGGGTATTTCATTTAAGCGTGTCTCCTCTTCATCCGGTTTCCCTGTGCTCATTCCCCCACTTTGAAAGTGACTTTAACAAATTGGACGACTTTCGAGTTGGATTTCTTGTATTCTTTTCACCACATTTCAGCATCTGATGGAAAGAAGAAGCTTTACTTCTGTTAGTAGTTCCATGAATGACTGTTCAGCAAAATAACCCTTGCCTATGCGTTGGACACAAATCTGTAACGTGTAAATTGCTTCGGTCATACGGTGGACAGGTCAAACAAATACCAGCCCCACCGATAAATGAACGAACAAGTCGCCTTTGCCTTCACCTTTCAGTGGGAAGTGGGCAATTCTACGACTCGGCACTTTTTTCCCAATGAAGTGAAAGTGTCAGCTTTACTGTCGTTTTTTTCTTCATAACTACGCCATTGGTTTGGAGGGTCTTTTATCGGTTGGATAGAAGACGATATTGTCTATGGAAGCATTACTTTTCGCTTTTGAAAGCACTTATATCGTTGAAGGCTGCTCCCTTAAATATCATATCGAGATCTTGGAACGCACTCAGCACTCATTCAGCCCTTTAACTGGGTTGGTAGGGACTCTGTTGGCTTCCTGAATAAAGCCTGTCGAATGGCAACGCTTGTGGAGGTCTTGAGTCCTCTCAGTCACTTCCTCTTTATTTAGAATATATTTCACTCGATTAAAAGCAGTCAACTTGACTGTTGGATTGGAGTTCATGGACGTCCAGACTTAAGCTGATCAACCGCAAAATGACCCTACTGTAAACTGTCGACAAGGAATCGTCCATCTACACCTTCAAGCAGTTAAAAGTAACATTAAACCTTTTGTTTCCCGGAGCTCCAGTACATTACACAGAGGAGAATTGCAGAGGTCGACACTCCAGCCGCCTCAATACCTTTACCTTAAATCATTTATCATCTAGCCTCTGTCAAGACTCAAATCGCAATTGTTGAACGTGCCTGGGAGTTTTACTTCGTGTCCCCAATTGTGGTTGGGGAGAAGTAGACGAGTTATAATTGAAATTTTTTTGCTTAGGCAACCATGACGTCGTAACCGACGTTAGGTCAAGCGGACACCCACTCTAGCTAGGAGGTAAGTAAATAAACAAATAAGTAATTCACCAGGAAGGCGGACTCTGGGATATTGGTTACAGCACTTTTTTGCCATTAAAAGTGAAGGATTCAATTTTCTTTTCATTTTTCGCTCTCCTGAAAGGAATTGCTCCGATTGGCTGGGAAACAAACCGGTGGTAGTCATGTTTTATGCATGACATGGCATGCGGTCACGAATCTGAAACATTGGAATTCGGACAAGAAGTCACTGGATTTTGTAATCGGGAGGGCGTTCCGTGTCTTTATACGCCTTCCTTTACATTTCTCATAATTACGTGACCGCGTCGGAAGGGATCTGTGTCGGTGTAGTCCTTGCAACAAGTTACACCAATGCTATATAGGATTACCTTGATTCCCCCCCCTCCCCTTAGCGACTTAGCAACTTGTAAGGAAATTGCATATTTTCTCGACGATATCGCTTTCTAAATATGTACTCTGGGTTTGCTTTTTGAATTTCCTTTGAAATACTTTTCACAACCCTTTACGGTATACATCAACTTTTTTAGCATTATCCTGTTGGCATGACAGCAATGCCGGAAGGGGGTTGCTCTAGTGGCTTTATAAATTTCAGCAATAATGGCATTTCAGGAGCCGCCCTCAGAGTGCTTAATCTTCATCATCAGGCTTCCACTTCAACTTCCCCCTTATAGCCTTCTTCAGCCTTGAAGATGCTAAACAAGCGTTGATTTGATTTTGAATAAACATGATACTGTCTCAATGAGGGCATTTTTTGGTGCTTAAACCTGTTTTCAGATTTAAGGTGCAGGTATTTTAATCTCTTCCACCATTCCCCTCGCTATCACGATTTCGGACGTACTGCCATTCTGTATCTTCCACTCTTATTGGTTGGAAGTAGCGTCGATCTTTTTGGGGAACTTTTAGTCTTGAAAATTTCTCCTTTACTACGTTCCAGCTCCTTAATTTTTCCATCCTGTTTGAGGGCTGGAACAAAGCAGTCAGTTCCGTCGGCGGAGTAAGCGCTGCGGGTACGTTGGTTAAGGGTGCTTGAATACTATCCGCCTCTCTCTCTCGCTCTATAATGTTCTGTGTTATATCTTGCCTCATTTGCCTTCCTAACGCAGTGCTGTCATTGGTAATGTTCTGCCCTCCTACGGTAGTCTAGATTCATTCTATCCTTCCTTGTTTCATTCTTTTTCTTCTTCAATCGATCTGGGAAGGACGTTTGCCCAATCAGGTAAGGCAGTAACTACGCCATTTCACCGCATGACAGCTTTCTCCTCCTCTTCGACTTACTCTCCTGTAATTCAATTGACTGGATGATAGGGAAACTTTTGACTCCCGTATCTCGGCTATGCAATGACCCTCTACATTCGATCCACGCCATCCTAGGAGTCTGTCGTCGACAAAGGTTAAATTGCACCGCTTTTTGCACGTCCTTTGATAAATACAACCGTTGAATTCGACTGCCTACTTGACAGTTAGATTTGGCACGGCATCATGGAGTTGCGTTTTCTACAAACCCTTACTCGCTTTTTTTATTTGAATGCGTGTTACCAGCGTCACATATATGGGACACCGTGACGACTGGTTCCATCAAGTCGTGTTGTAAGCTAAATTGCTTGAGCTGAAGATGGTCGAGTAAATGTAGCATTCATGACCTGAGGTTCATTACATGTTTGAGTGCAGCTTGGGTTTGTCAAATAGGTTAATGGAAAGTGGCGTGTCATGTCAAATCACTAAAACATGAAACCCTAGCAGCGAATATGTAAACTTGCTCAAATTTTGCCTCTCTTTTTGCAGTAGTTTTGTGGAATGATGTAATGCTGACCTTTGACTTCTAAACTACAAGTTTTTCCGCTATTTTTTGCTGGTGGCAAAGTTACCCAATTCCTCCTCTATATTACCGAATGTCGGAATGACCTCTTGGAATTTGACCTCCGTATAACTTCTGGTTGTAACAGGGGAATCGGTTGAAGTTGTTGACATGCTTTCATTTACAAATCTGCTTGTTTATATGCCATGCTATTTTCGCTGATGAAATGTTTGCATCTTCAGGCACAGAAACGGCCCTTTGAACTTTGACCTCCTTTTTCGTTAACAGGAAAGTGCCAACACCGGTGGAATTCTTCTCCTATTGCATCAACTTTCAGACAGTACTGGCCGGCCCACCGTTGGCCTTCAAGGACTACAAGGTCTACATTGAAGGCACAGAGGTGGATGATAAGCACCTCACTGTTGAACAACGAGCCAAGTTTGTAGGTCCCTTCTTTCATAGCAAGGATTTGTTTAAGGCCATTTTTTTAATGAAAAGGAGGAACACATCTTAAATGATTTTTTTTTCTTTAAAATCACGATTAATTGAACGCGGAGTTGAGAGAATGGTTACTAAGCTAGGAATGATTTAATGGTTTCCCCTAAATTTGACACTATTTTTTGAATGAAGAGGACATATCCTACTGAGACTCCCTCTTTTTGGCACCAAAAGTCGCTAGTAGGCGTTCTGGTCGCCCCGAGACGGCGGAACATCGGACCTGACGCCGATGCTTCGGAGTTGCTGTCTTGTGCTTTTTTACGGACAAATAGGTCACTGCTTTTTTTTCATAAAAGACGTAGTTTTTTGGGGCGTACTAACTTCCTTTGGCAAGAAGAAGCGCTTTCGTTTTGTTTAATTTTTCCTTTTTCGTAACCGCCCCATCGGGACGGACGGTGGTTTGGTGTCCACAAAAATTGGCACGAAATGACAAAAGTTTATCTTACAATCGCTTCCTTCGTCTTTTCGGTTATCTTATTAATTTGGTTTTTGCAGTTTTGTCATTCGGATTTGGCGTTCTACCCGTAAAAATTTTTTTCGTTAAAATGGGATGGGGGAGAATCTCCTCTAATTTAGTGTTTTGCGGTGGAACTCTTCGCCCGGCCAGTCGTTCGCTGCTGTCGTTCACTCGAAGGCAAAACAGGCAGCCTATTTTTCCCTGAAAAGGACACAAATATTTGTTAACTTGGATACGTCAGCCGGAGCCACGGTAATTCGCCTGGTCGAGTTGTCAGTGTCTGTGAGCAAAGTCGATCAGTGGGAAAAGTCAGCATGGGTGTGGGATGTATAGCCTGGGTCGCCACATCTTGCGTTTTGGGTTTTCTATATTCGTGTAGCCTGGACCCTGTCCAGACCCCCAATCGTATAATCACCAAATAAGGGCTTCAGAGCGGACGCCTTTATTGGCCGACGTGGATGAGTAAGCCTAGGCGTGGGGGGTGACACAAGGGGTGTGTACACAGACCTGACGGCCGGCTGGCTGGTGGAGCTTGCCGAAGGCGGAGAGGCCTAGTTTGAGTGCGATTTGGTTGTTTCTGCTGCGTGTAATTGATTGGCTTGATCTTGGCCTTCAAGAAGTCTATCGGTACACTTAGAGTGCACGATTCTTTAGGCTGTTCCAAGATTGACCATCAATTGGAACTTCTAGAAACTCAAGCAGAAACTTTCCTCCGGGGTAACAGGCTTCCCCGGTAGTATACGGGACGACACACCACCCTTTATTGTGCCTTCACTACCTACCTCCTATTTTGCACTTATTCAAATTCCATAGAATGTCAATTAAGAAGTGACAGGGGTTATATTCGCTCCACGGACCATGTCTAGCGCGGCTTCGAAGGTGCAAAGGCTTCTCGTCGAGTCTGTTGTTTGGCAATTTGGGAAGGTACGGTACGCAACACCAAAACCTATCCTCCCCAGAAGAGCTTTAAAGTGCTGACTCCGTTGTTCAAAAAAGGGATCAAAGCGGGGTCCCTCTCCTCTTGATGCCAATGAAGAGAAGTATGCCCTGCGAGTTTCCACTCCTGCTCATCGTGGGCATTTACCTTTAGAGGAGTAACTATATGGCAGATTTTTCTGCAAAATAAGAAACTCTCCGTCAGTTAAAGTAAAGGCGGGTGCCTGTTGTCGGGTCTTGTCCAGTCCCTAACCTGAATAACCAGGCGACAAAACCTTCAGTACTTCAGCACGAATCTATTTTTATTTAGTGGTGTCGTATTATCATCACCGTGTTCCACTGTGCTTAATTGGGGGCAATGGAGAAGGTGGTAGGGTGCTTAAATCCTACGGATAGTCTACTTTGAAGTATCTTCCTACTGAAATACGCCCTTTCTTTGAAAGCTTCCCCCACCCTCCATCTTTTTATGAAAAAAGGACCCGCTTTTGTGTTGAAAATTGCCTTCTTTGAGAAACGACCTCGCCCAGTGGGTTCCTGCCACATTGTCATAGCGAGATCCCTTACAAGCCTAGCTTGGCGGTCCTCCGCCTGGGTAAACTATCGACACATTTCACTGTGGTGCTTCTGGCTCCTCAAGAACCGCACACATCTTTGCTTTGAGGCTATCACTCTCAGCTGTACTTTGTGGGGAGAGGAATGCCCTCAGGAGCCTTTGTATTGAGGAGGAATTAGAAGTTTTCCTTGTTTCTCATAAGTTCGTTACACGTGAAAGTCGTCAACGGGCGAATTTGTAAATCACCGGATGAATTGGCAGTCGGGGTCACTTGAAGTGGGATCTGTGTTGTCATTCCGTCGCATGTTTCAGTCGACCTTTAAAGTACAGGCAAGGAAAGAATGCATTTTTTGAATTTAATGAGTACCACCTTAGTCTTTTCAGTGGTTGCCATCACACCATCCACCCCCCGCATTCAAACCCATCCACCTGGCGAGTGAACTCCTTTTCCGGGTTGATGTTATGTATATCATCAGAAGTTGAAGTCGAAAGGCCGTATGAAAGACGGCTCATCCAAATCTTTTTTTCCACTGAATCCATTTTGACTAACATCACTAATGCATAGATGTTGTGTATGGAGAAATGGGAAACTTTATTTCGAAATCATCGACAGTATCTAAAAATTATTTAGCTTAATGATCCAGTTAACCAGACGTCCTAAAATACTACTGATATTCGTGTCCTAAATTCAGTAGTTGGATCTGAGTAATGGACAGGCAATTCAAGCCATCTAATGAGACTGGAGGCGATTCTTGTCCAGGCAATTTCTTTGTCCACAAACTTAGTCCAATGCATTTGAACGAAATGGATTGACCAGAAGGCAGATTCTAATCAGGTCTGCTACCATTAAAAGTTTGACTCCTTTTGTGGATTAAGTTGGTGGTAGGAAAATTCCAACGTTCCCAACATGAAACTTCCCCAAAACGTGAAAGTCATCGCTGTTGTCGCTGTATGAAATACTCTTCCGTTTCTGCAGTGCTTTAAACTCTGCTGACTTCCTGCCGTCTTTCCTCTGAAATCGCACGGAGCAGAGTAGCCGAAAAGGGGAGAATTTGGAGGAGCCAACACATTAGTCGGTGGGATTTCCCACAAACCAGATGGGATGTTCTAGGTGTCTTAGACGCCACAGGTGTGACTGCTTAAAAAACTCGGAGGCCAATCACCCCAAAAGTTATTCCTCCCCAACCACCCCCCCCCATCAACCTGGTTGGATCTGTCAAACACAATTAAGTGGTGAGACGATGGTCGAATTCTTCCGGAA